TCGCATGTCAGCGTACTTCGATACGCATTCAGGACAGCTGGCTTTGTCAGTTGGCTGGTGTCAATACGCTCACAGCACCGTCGTGGGCGTCCGCCAAACCGCATCCGCATGTCAGCACATACAAGTGCATGGTCGGTGTCCGCACATGTGCTCCAAATCGAGCGACAGTTCTGGATGCAGCCACTCCAGCGGTAATTGATAGTAATGTGTTCGATCTGCGTCCAACGCTGGTTCAAGGCTGGTGGGCGCCAAGTCACCCTCCGACGAGTGCTGTATCGGAAGTTAGTGTTCGCAAAAAAGTAGGCGGACATCTTCACACAAATGAAGTAACCGCTCACCGTTCTCGTTACGGGTGCATACACCGTGCTGCCCCCCAAATGCAGCTCATCAGTAGAAAACTTTTCAACTTGCGCGTTCAAATCCCCAGCCAGCACAACAGTGTCCGTGCTTCTTCTATGGCGAAGGAGCTGGGGCAGTTGCGGTAAATGTCGTACTTTACCGAATCATCGCTATAGTTTGTGGGCGCGTAGGCAGCGATCATGTATAGACACCTATTAGTCCCGCAGGACTTCGAAGCTTTGAATGAGCCAGCCAATCGGACCGCACACATACGGCTACTGACTGGAACCCAATCAACCGGAGCAGCTTTAGCCCGGGGACTCAGGGCCATGCCAACTCCTGCTTGGCCGGTGCTCGAAGCTGCGTCGTCACCGGATAGGCGCAATGAGAACATGTTGCTAGTGTCATCTGTAGGGGATCGCAAAGTGAGCACAGAGCTCGAGTCTTGTAGGCGGGTCTCCGATAAGCAGCGGATATCGATCGAGGGGGTCTCTAATGTTCGGGCAAGTTCTGCCTGTTGAACGATATGTGGTAATGTGCGAACATTGAGGCATGCCAAACTGAAGGAGGATCGAAGGCTCCAAATGAGCCGCTTGGTTGGACATGGGCTTGCCGACAGGAGAGGAGTGACGCTCCGCGTTAGCGTGTAAGGGGAAATAAGAAGATAAATGCTTAGCAACGCAAGCTGGGGGAGTGCCAAAAATCGGGGGTTGAAAACTGGGGAGATATAAGTGAAGTTGGAACGGGACGGTAAGAGCGAAAAAGCCTAAGAGGGGAATAAGAAGACGGGAAGTCTTGAGCAGTAGCATCTAAACCCCTGTCCACCATGCTCGATGTCGCAGATAGGGCACCGTTGATAATCTTCTGCGGTGGCCAGAGCATCGCTATACTGTTTGAAGAGAAATTCATAGCACTGCGTGGGCAGGATACTTTCAGGTGGCCCAGGCCTAGACAGGAGGACGATTAAGGTTCTAAACCAAAGCCTTTTGTTCAAAAATCTGACCGCAGAGCAGTGGGTTTGGCGTTGGGAAACCAGGAGTTTGTTTTAAGGAATAAGGCGCCACCCTCCTTCCAACTCCCAACCTGGAGGACCAGGAGGCTGCGTTTGTCTGGCCTCTAGCCATTGAAAAATCTGGTATGATTGATCTGAAGGTGCAAAACCACCACCCAGCATGGCTCAATGGGTCGCGGAGGCATACAAACCATCGCACCACGGTAAGGTCCAGCCTCATTGCGCTGGGCTTAGCACCAGGAAACTGGAGAATTTCATGGCCCAAAATCTCACAATAGAAACCCGAAGTCTTGGCTCTGACTGACAGCCTGAGTGTCAAATGTTCTGGTGAAACGTAAACGTACCCTGGAAGCGTATAGCCAGAGTACAACTAAGGCGCAAACAAAAATGACCCATGATACCCAGTGAAAGTCCGTAACTAATATTACTAATAAAATGTCGTGACTTAGCAAACAATAAGTCCTGATTAAACGGTAGTTGGACGTCCATGTGCCTATTGGGGAGGTCCACAAACTGATCCAATGGCACTGAGAGCGTAAGCTCAAGAAGATCTAAACCAGACGTACCTGAGGCTGAGTTGCAAGAAACACCTGCCAAGCGAAGATCAGTGAAATTAAAGTCGCATAGCACCAAACTCCTGTTTGAGGGCTTAGGGCCAATAACTTCAAGAACTTCTTTGGATATATCCTCAGGGCTCCTTCACTCGGTAACAACTGTAAGCAGAACCGAAGAGGTACTAATCACAAAGAAAATAGCTGCAAGTGTTATGTCTGCTGGCTGAAATAAACGAGCTACCATAATGCCTAGTTTACAGCTTACATAAAAGCGACGCCTCCTTCTTGGTGGCCGACGGAGCGACTACATCAAAATATTGCATACCTAGATAGATGCACTTCACCGGCTTTGATGCCCTGAGACAGCTACTTTTCGTTGAATGCAAATATGACGTGATGATAGGCATATACACGCAGGCCTAACTCGTACACTTTATTCTTTGGGCTGCACACATTACGTAGCAGCACTTGAAGGCATTGTAATATCCAGCCGGGTCGTGCACGTCCAGAACGGGCACTGGTAGGGCAGTAAAGAACCGCCGGCGGACCACCCTAAAACCCACTAATCGGAAACTTTGTCCACTAGCCGCTTGCCTCCTTTTGAGGTTCTTGATTGCTTCCTTTCTCTTCACCCTACCTACGAGCGAAGTGTCCGGATGAACACTAATATTGGCACCTGTCAGCATGAAAAGCAAACAGCTTATGGTTGTGTTCCTCCGGAAAGCGAAAACTACACTAAATATCTGGGGTTGAGTGTTTGGTGCATTACCTGGGACCATCCCCAGGTTAAGCAGATTCATGACAGTAGCTTCTGGAAAACCAGGCGTTAGAAGCTAAGTTACGCACATGTTAAACCACCGTAGGTCGTCCAACATGCGTTTAGCGGGAAGGAAAGCTGTGGATTCTGCCGCTCAACTGCATGTAGCGCTACTATCCGTGAAAGAATCACAACGTTGGAGTGTATTTACCCTACGGGCCTTCGATTCGAAACCTGGAGTAAGTGGTTTCCAACATAGTGTTGGGACTATTCGTATTCTCTCAACATAAGTATCAACGGTAGTGCATGCTTTTTGTTCTATTGTCGAGGTAGTATTCTGTTTCGGGTCTTTGAGTTCAAACGAGTGCTCAACGGCAGGTTTGGTCTGCACGGGAGCAGGGGCCCTTGAAGTTTCGTCGCCTTGAGCGTGGTCAAGCAAAACCTCAGAAATTGCCTTATCTGTGAAAGCTGAGATAGTCAGCACCTTCGACAGACAAGTAGTGCGTGCGGGATGTTTCTCCTTCGCACAACCGTCAGACGACTTGACAAGTGAGCACAGTTGGCTTCTTTCCTATATCAAGATAACCACGGCTAGTTTAGTAGATAGCTTACGGTCTCTCACTCATTTACTTCACTCCGGTGTGTTCTTGAACAAGCGATGCCGCCACGATCAAGGTAGTGTTAGTTAGTAAATTTGACGAAGCTTCATTTATGTGCTACATAGCCATCTATAATGGTGTCACAACGGTTGTTGACACTACTTGCCCTCCAGTGTAAGGGATCGGAGCAGGGTTGTTGGAGACCGAAAGCGTAGTAATGGGATTAGCAAACATGCAGGGAAGATCTGACCGCATCCAGCATGTAGGTCCCACGTTTCGCAGCCAGGCGTCAAGCCATTCGTTTTTTAAGAATGTCCGGGTGGTTTTACCTGGTTTCGCAGCAATTGACCCAACCGAAAGGCTACCTACCGCTTAAGGCCAGCTTTGCGTGCTACTCTGTATCCAAGTCCATACAAAGCTGGTAGTACCATTAGTTGCAGACAAACCATTGCATGCCATCGGAATCGTTAGTTACGGTCATGTTGCAGCTTGAAGTGCCATAGACATGGCTGGCCTAAGCATCCAGGACTCTAGGGAAAACAACAGCTTCTTGCATTTTAGGACCTACATATTGGAAAACAGCGAAAACTATTTCACGAAGAAGATAATAGAACATCCGCAACAAACAGGCACAACGGATACAAAACAAGATAAAACCTAGGAAGAACCGGATAACTTACCAGAACACGCCATAGGCTCTTTGTCTGATACGAATTTAATAGATCCAAGATATGCTGGGTTAAAGAAAAGTTGGCAATGCTGAAATTTCGTTTCAGGTGTTTCTTCAGACACTGATTTCCAAAATGATTCAGCTAAAAAGCGCTTGGTATGGCACGCCAAGTTCATATAGTGTATTGGGGGAAGAGCTTAACACACTTAATTTCCGTACGTACGCGACAGCTTATACTACAGTCGTCGTAGCAGGTCTGAGTGTGACCACGCGGTGATCCCCACTGTAAGGAGATCACTGTGTTTCGGTTAGACGGACGTAAGTTATATACTACCTTACCATTATTTTTCGTTTGGCCTCTAACTTGGCGGTTATGATATGAGCACCCAGCCACCTATGAGGTGTTTGTTTTCCACTGCTGATCTGTTGGTCTATTCCGACCAACGCATGCACTGGACACGGAAGTCTTCGGAATTCACGGCCGCATCGTCAGTCTCTCATTACACAAATTAAGGGAAACCACGCCAGCCGTAGCTTACACCCACCTACATCCTTATTAGAGCTGAGGATGAAACAGATGAGCAGACTATAAGCATTATTCAAATAGGGGAAAATTCAGCTAACTGACTCTTTATCTGCGTACGCACCAAGCGAATTGTGACTTTTAGTTACATCTATCCAAACATATTTGCCTAATTTTCTACTGAAACGCTTCATTTTGCAATGACACCTAACATTCATATACAGGCTAGGTAAGTTCCCTCATTTCATTCGCATACAGTGCGCACATAAACAATGTGCAAGAACAAAGGAGATAATTAGCAGCAAACTCAGGTATAACCGATTTCGAATCCGTTAGGTTTAAGTCTACCCCGGCAACGTGATAACCTTGGCATTCGTCTGGATCGCAATACGGAACATGAAGTTAGACAACTTTAGGGAGACTTTGTGACTACGAGTTTCCCCTGACGACAGCTAATTTTCTAACGTACATTAATTTTCGCCCCAAATGTAGTAAACTTTATTTTGCACTGCCCTTACTTAGCGGTAATAATCATAATGCTAAGTTGTTTAAACGCTCTAAACGGTAATTAGCTGCATCGGCCATTGTACGCCCTTTGTCATGAACTCTGCAGTAGTTATTTATTTTGCTGACATTTGATGGATTAATGGAAATTGTTTCATTTACGGATCATCGGTCGTATTGAATAATTTCTGTTTCCTGCTCACCCTTGAACTTGATGCAGTACCAATGACGGCGCCCCGTCAGCGTTTTCGTCCATCACAAGTCAACCTCGTCAAATACTCCAGTTCACGGGAATTTGGTAGTTCCTTTCATCAAGGGCATCAGTTTGCTTCTGACTTAGTCACTTCTCAACGTGCTTTGAAACCAGTGCTCGCAGAAACCTCTCCAAACAGCCGTTCGACATATTTACTGCGGTTAAATACTACAAACAAATTTCTCGCTGCGGCTCACGGTGACCGTTCAGTCACAATTTATTGTGTGCAAACGGGAAGGGTTCTTGCAAAGTGCGTGGGTCATGAACGCTCTCCTTGGACCCTGGTGGTAAGTTAGTTTTGACACTTGGTTGCAACATTACGTGTGCCCTTCGCGTTTCCAATTCTGTCCTGGTTTTCCCTTATACTGCGTCTTGGATAGTTGGCGAGATTTCAGTCTTGTTTTCTGGCCTAGTAAATTTGCCCTGAGATAGCATTTCTCTTGTTTGCAACAACCTTGTTTTCCGGAACAATCAGATTAGTCATTTTCTACCGCCATGCAGCTCGGTCTTTTCCTTTGGAGGTTCTCGCACTGTAGTTCTTCCATCATCGTCGCATGCGGGGTGTGATGGTTTTCGCTGCGCTGCCAGACTTTAGATGCAATGCTTCATTTGATTGCTTGGGATCTTGGGCGACCATTTCATAGCACTGTTTCATAATTCACGGTCATCATCATCATACACGTTAGCTGGAGGTGGGGAACACCTCAGCTACTGTGCCGCATGTTTCCCACGGTCGTAGGGTATCCTCATGATTAGTGGCAAGCAGGATGACACTTACAGTGCTACGGATAGTAACATACAAAGTGTTAAGAGTACTTGTGTAGCTGATAGGTGATGAATTGAACGCACCCGGCACTGTAAATAATCCACTGCAAAAAATAAGTGCTAATTTAGTGCAAGTTGTTGTGAGGCGTTAGATCTCAACTGCTGCTCAGCTGAGTTTGACTACGCCGGTGTCTCCTAGTTTATGTGGGACTAGCTTCATTGTAACCAATGATTGCTAAACATTTCCCAAAGCGCGATCTGGGTTCAAAAGCCATAATTTCATGTCATGGTGTATGCGTGTCCGATATGCTGTTGCTTTAACTTAGGCATGTGCTACGTATGTCCGGTCACCGCTTATCGAGGAGAGCCTTGTTTTGTTTACCGGATATGGAGTGGTGCATAATTCGAGGTGGGCGAAAGTTAACGTGGCAGCGAGGAATGAAAGCACGGATTACAAACTCGTGTGTCGATGGTCCGTCTCGTCTTTCAGGATAGTTCATTTGACCCTCATTGTACTTGAGACGTCACAGGACATGGCTCGCAATGAGCACCAGTGGCATCTTTGCTGTAGTCTCCTAGTCGGACTGCTTGTTTCAAATGTGCTTGTTGCTAGGTTATCTGCGGGTTTATTGCTGATTTTGACGCACATCAGTGAAAGCCGCGAGGAAGCTGTCACGCTGATGCCGCCTTATCTTCACACGATGTTCAGCTTTTTGTGGCAGTATGTTGTTGACAAAATGTAGGCGTCTTGGCCCTGAATGTTTGCTTAAGGCATTTAAGTTTTATGCTGCGTTTCACTTTTCTCATTCATTGTTTTTCCTCGGTGTCACTATGGTTGCACAGCAGCAAAGCATCGGTTCAAATAGCTAGTATACTGCTCTTGATGCTGGTACTATTAATTTTGGGTGATTTTTGTTGGTCACTTCGCGGTAACACGCGTCTAAACGCATGCTCACAGTACTAGAGGCACTAGCTTGCGTGACTTTACGAAGGAACCTGAGTTTCTTAAAGAGCAATTCCATTGTACTGTAAGTGCAATTGACCAAGAGAATGTGTGGCCCTCATCGAACGGCCATCAGAAGTGATTGCTCAGTCGCGTTACCGGTCAGTGGCCGAGTGGTCTGCGCATCTGGTTTGCAACCATAAGGTCCCCGGCTCGAATCCGCGAAGGGGTGGGTGTCCTCGCAGTATATTCAGCCCGCGCGCCACTGGTGGTCGCGCGGCAGCGAAACGCCGTTACGGCGTACAGCTGGCATATTATTATTATTGTTATTATTGAGGCTACCTCACCTGTCTTGTGGTGTTTCGGAGGCTCTCCTCTATGGATTTCAGCCGGCTACTAGAAGATAGAATGCATACCGCTGCAATACAGCTGGTGTTATTGCATGAATCAGAAACATGACTTCTTACCGAACATACTGAGATTAATCGTCCATCACCGAAGCTTTTGGAATATTACTCACACATGGTGGGATTCTTAGTCCATCAGCTGGTGTTTGGTGTAATTGGTGCTTCACTAGTGTTCGCTTGCGCTCGACCGCTTACCTTGGCTAGATCACGCTTTCCGTTTGCCCGTCGGCCGCCTTCCTCGATGTGCATTATATGCCGTCACTGCACTTAGCTCAAGGAAGCCGCAAGATGGCCAGTAGATGACGCGGCATAAACGCATAAGGAAATTAACCACTAGGCTTAGTCACGTTGGTGCATACCGGGCTTAGGAACTAGCTGGCATGGTGCAGTCGCGCGGTCAGTGGCGCTCCTGTGTTCTCTTTCTTGCATCTAGCTGCTAATTATCCATAATACAACGACTAGAGATAGACTAGTGAGTGAGAAATCAAGCCCCGAAACTTAAGCGTTTGTCATTCCATGAATAGAGACGTGGGCCGGAAGTGTACTTGCCAGCAAAGGTTTGGTGGCAGCGACAAACGAAGATTACTTTAAAGCGAAAGTTGTTTCCGAAGGAATGTGGCCTCCGCTTCTTAACTCATGTGTCCTGTCCGAATCAGCGCACTGGTTACGATCTACCGCGCGACTGATAGTCACGTGACAGAAGCGTCGCTACAGCATTCCGGCGTACCACGGATGCTTGTAGAGCAGACAGATTTATGGAACTCTTACATCATATGAAGGAATCACATGTGCATTACTTAGTTGCCTCAGATTCCGTGTGGTTTAGTCGTGAATGACCCTCGTAAACAGCCGAGGCGTTAGCGTTTCTTTTGGAGCCGCATCAGTCCTTTCGTCGTTCCGTGACAACTGTTCTCCACAATTGGCCAGTTACGGAATTGATAGTCTCCTCTCCTTCGTTTGGATGCTTTTTATACCTGCTGTGCACCCAACTTGATACGTCTGTGTGGATTTCTAAGACATCGCTCAGTTCCATCGAAGCACGGAAGCAGGTTCCCATGGGCACTGAGTTTCAGCATGTCCTTAACTCTGTAACGTCTGACAAGGAGTCTTCAAATCGACCGGGAACCTTTGTGGATGGCAAGGGCCCGTGAGATGGAGAAAGCCAGTGTTATTGGAAACAGCCGAGGGCTATTCCAGCTCATCTGGAACACGGGTCCGTGAAAGCCATCCGTTAGCGAAACAGGCTGACAACGATGAACAGTTGGTCCAGTTTCAGCTTCGTCAGCTAGCCTGTTGGGCGGAGCAATTTAAAGAACGGTTCAGCAGGCCTGCTGCAACACTGCCGCTTACCGAATCACCGGTGTCGACTTGGGAAGTAGATGTCACACCTACTTTGGAGGAAATTCGACATGAGCTTTCCGTGTTGAAACGAAACGAAGCTCATGGACCCGACGAACTTCACAGTTGCTGAGACAGTGGTAACCCTTTGTTGACTGGGCTCGCTTTGGAACAGTGAAGAAGTGCCTACAGACGGGCAGCTGTCAACTGTCGTACCCATCTTTAAGAATAGTCAGCGTACCTTGTGCACAAATCATCGTGACAGTCGTATTTCCGTTGCTTCCAAACTTCTCAGACGACTTTCTGATCCCTGTGAGAACCGAATCATGATCACCATCATTATACAGGTTAGCTAAAGGTGGTAAACACCTCGGCTGTTGTGCCGCAAAGAACCCAGTCACTGGAAGCTAGGCTGGCTTCCGCCTTAGTCATGGTTTTATCGATCACATATATACTATTCGACAAATGTTATAGCAAACATACCTACAGACGAGCGACTATGGGGGTTTTCCATGACTTAAAAGCCACCTCCGACTCTGTTGACTGCGCCAACTTATGACACTACCTATCCATTAAGGGGGTGCCGGCTAAATTTCTTTCCATTATAATGCCTCTACCGTGACTCCCGAGACCGTGTAACGATCCACGGTGAACTGTCTCCTGGATTCCTCAAGACAGGTGGGGTCCGCCAAAGTCGTCCTATATTTCCTTTGTTTTGTGATCGAAATTACCGTGAACCAATCTGTTCTCTTAGGCTACCACAGTGAAAGTTCTGTCAGATGACCAAATAACAAAGCTGGAGTGTGCGGACGACCTCTTATTTTTGGTCTAACTCTGGCTATACAAATACTACTAGATAGGCTGACGCATACCACTGGTCGCTTCGGCATGTGCTTTGCACCTTCAAAGTGCAAAGTACTGCTGCTCGACTAGACCGACCTCAGGTTATAGCTATCATCTAACAGTTACTGGAGGTGGTGGACCGGTTCACTTACCTTGGCAGCTGTCACCTGGTGGTCGCATCACTGAAGAAGTCACTTTGCATATCAACAAGACCTGTGTAGCTTTCCAGAAACTCAACGATCTATGAAGACGGCGGGATATTAACCTGTCAGTCAAGGGTAGGATGTATAACGCTGACATAAGGCCGGTGTTACTGTATGGATCAGAGACCTGACCAGTTCGCAGCGCAGACATTAAACGCTTGATCGTGTTTGACCACCGGTGGGCACTGCTGAGGTCTGCCAGTTCGTTTTAAGTAAGATGCCTTCTGGTTCCTTACTCGAGTGCCTACTGAATCTTAATCCGTTACGTTGACTAGGCCATGTCTTCCGTATACCCGTTGACCGGCTTCCTCGATGTGCATTATATGTCGTGGCTGCATCAAGTTGGGCGAAATCGCGTGGGAGTCAGTTGTTGATGAAGCATAGAGTCATGAAGAAATCGACTGAGCGACTTGGTCAGACTGGGTGCATACCGTCTTCGTTGAAGGGGTCCTCGGGATGGCGCATGCCAATGATTGGAGACCGCATCAGACATGGCGCAATCACACAGTCATTGGCATTCCTGCATTCGGTTTCTTGCCTCTGGTTGTTAATTTTCCTTTCATTCTAATTAATGCACTTCTATTTTCGCATTCAACCTCACTATCTTGCCGTTGTTATTTATTGTTAAGCTTGCGATATGATTGGAGGGCAACTGAGATCATAGTTGTTCAACTGAAGTGACTTGCTTTGAAAGTCGATGTATTGTGATTGTTTTACTCTATAAGTTCCACTTGGTTAGCAAGAGGGTCGAACTTAAAGGACCGAGCTAGATGCCAGTCATGTAGGACTATAAAAACGTGACAAAGATTTCTGTTTAAGTTTACTAAAAGGCCAAGTATGCATCCAGATTAATGACAGTACACAGAAGCGATCTACTTGAATGCAAGCGACCGAGTATTCCGGTTTTCCATTGGTCACCTGGCAGTTTACGAAAACGGCTTCGTACAGTTTATCATTTAGCCATTCGACTTACCAGGCCGGCTCCCCGTTACACTTTATGGGGAAAATTATGTAGTCTTTGAGACATGCTGAAGGACCTGCATGCCAGACATCGGAACGAGCTGACATGTCACTTATCACAGTACAAAAATGTTACTCTTATCATCTGAAGGCAAATGAATGACAAGGAAACGTATCCACATTTGTTTAGAAATAAAGGTCTCGAGATTTCGCGGAAAGACCTTCAAACTTAGCATTAAAGCGTTCAAACGACTGAGTTGCTTTTACGAGCTGGTCGAGAAAGGGTTAAAAGAACCTCCATTTCATCCCAGCGCAATCAATGGTGTAACTTGGGCAACAGAAAACACTAGGCTTTTGGTGCAGACGAACTGGATCACACGGGTTATAACTAGGTCATGGATTTACTTCAGCTTAAGATTATCGGAAGTGCTGCTGCAGCATCTACTGTATTTGGTCTTTATTTCTTTCTGTTGTACATGACAACAATACACTAATTGTTGATCAGCCTATGGTGGTTACCTAGCAGTTATGTTGCCATTTTCGCAATAGCTCACCAATTGCACAGGTTTCTTTTTCTACTAGGTATAGGGTTTCTCCATCGAAGATAGCGTGTGAGAAAAAGCCATTGGTCCTTCCGTTCTGCTTTATGGTGGCTCAGATGGCTACGTCAGAAACGCGTCTCAACTACTAAGGGTACATAAGGTTTTCCAGTGTATTTACAGTGGTTGTCGGTTCCCTCTTTAAAACTTCGAAGGATTTCCAACGAGAATCTTTACTATCATCATAGAGATCGCAGACCAGGCAGCGGACACCAATTTACCATTTGAAAGTACTATCATTTCTGCTAACTCAGCTGGCCCGTAGTTTAAAGTATCACAAGTTTGCCTTATAATCCGATGGCGCGTGCTCGAGCCTGCGTAGTGAACCGGGTGACCCTCACTCGGCTACTAGTGGTTCTTCAACAGTGAAGCGTCTGTACTGCGTACCGGCGTACTGATGATATCTTTCTGCTAACTCACGGGACATCCTGGTACTTAGCTGTAAGCTCTGAAAAAGTAGGCATCAGCAGTACACCGGTACACCATACAGCCGCTTCGCTGCTATGTGATTACTACCGGTCGCGCGGGAGAATGGATACTGTAGTCCGCGAAGCATTCACGCAGACTGGAACTGGAAAGCTATGGACTACATATCACACGCATTATCTCCTTCGGCCACAGGCTGACCACAGAAAAAAATGTCAGCTGTACGCCGTAACGGCGCTTCGCTGCCGCCCGACCACCACCAGTCACGCGCGGGTTGTGTATACTGCGAGGACGCCCACCCCCACGCGAATTCGAACCGGTGACTTTATGGTTGCAACCCAGGCGCGCAGACCACTCGGTCATCAGCCAGCCGACTGTTCTGTTCTGACCACTGAATAGTTTGTCATTTCGAGACGGTCTGTGGGCTAAATGAGCCATGATGGGGAAATTGCCGGATATAGTTAGTAATACCTTACGGTGAGTACTCCAGAAAGCACCGGCATCTCAGCGTCCCAGTTCCGTTACCTACAGCCCTGTTGTTTGTCGGTTGAGTGCAGACGAGTACGAGACTGATGCTGGAGTGCGTTGTTGCGATATTCATATGTTTTGGGCGCGGTCCCAACACCTCAATTGACCGAATTTCTCTCCAGTAAATCACGTTCCAGATTGAGCTTACATTTTGCAATCCACTCACATAACGCCAACCATCCTGGACTGCGTCAACTAACGTTCGGCGGGTTCGCCTGTATAGTCGGTGACAGCTGAGGCACCTAGTTCCTACCATACTTGCAGTTTATTCCGTCACGCTAGCTGGGTAGTCGCGCTTAACTGAAACCATAAATAGTTATGCTTGCGCACACGAGCATGTCTCCTAACTCGCTCATAACTAATCAGGATTTGCTATTCTTAGATGATGTCCGTTTCTTATATGCCATCCACTCTGTGATCCTACCTGTGAGAATTTTTTAAGCGGCTAATGTACACTTTATGTACCCCATCCTTGATTCCTACTATTTCAAGCAATGTGCGTAAAGGGAACCTCACTACCCTTTTGTCAAAGGGTAGGGCGTGCTCTCACTAGCGCTCCACCTATCAATCATTTTGTAGTTTTGGCGGTTACTATTATTGCTTTTTCATCCGACTGAATGCTTCAAGCTTGTGACACGAGTAGATGGAAGATCGTGAGATCACGTTCGGCATTTTCTGAGATCACCAACAGGGTGCATAATCTATTTAGTTGAACTGCCTCATCTGGGCGCTACTGATAACTTCCCAACTCGTTCCTTCCTTTTTAGTTTCATCCAACGCAGCCTTTCGTACTCGCAAGCGGCTGTCTGGGCGGCGATGTTCGACTGTGGGATTTGGAAGTACTCGCGAATATCGAAAGGGCCGAGGACATTGATCAGCCACATTCCATTTGCTGCACGAGAATTTGGAAGCACTCTGGTGCAGTCTCATCCATCGCTTTCCATCCGTCTCATACCATATTAGTAGTGGCATGGTTAGTTCATTCCTGTTATATGTACTTCACTTTACCTATTTTTTCTAAAAGTATTTTCAGTTGTCATTTATTCGACATTTTTATGATCGACTCTTTACTCAATCTCTTGAAATGTCTTCGGAGCTGTTCGAAAGGTCATGGTTTGATCTGCTGTTTCGTTACCTTTTCGACCGAAATTCTTCATCAGGTCGAGCGAACGAGTGTTTGGTGAATTGGATTTCTATAGTAATGCCGTTCGATGACCTCTATTACCGAAATGCGAATCTGAGATCTGCATTCACTGATCGCGATTTCGTCAGAATAGTCCTAAACGTTCACTGTGTCCTGATTTGGTACGCTCTGTTACCATCCAAAGACCACTATCGCAATTCTGAACGAACACACAGAAACGGAAGGTCCACAATAGAATTACAACTCAGTTCACGGACGAACACATAATTCGGCTCCTAGACACTAGCTCCAATTTCCATAAGGAAGAAGATATGATCTATGAACACGATCTATTGTGATGCCAACTCAGACGACAACCAACGCAAATCTCGTTGGTTTTTGTCTCTTCTATTTTATCTGCGAGATCGGCCATTCACTACTTTGATTTGAGACCAGAACAGATTTGTGGGCGCACTTTAAAAACCAGAATTACGGCCAACGACAAATTCTTGTTATCATCGATCCCACTGTAGTTTTTAGAAAACCGGGCGTTTTCCTGACACCTTTTTGTTTCTGATTTTTTTTACTGTCTAGGCGCTCATTTTGCGACGTTTTGCTTGTCCTCCGTCTTAGCGATTTTACCCAAATCGATCGTATTCCATGTTTACAGTACGTATACTATGACCATCGCGTCTTTTCTTATCGCGTTTTAGTTGCCTACGTTTCTCCGTCCTCGTGCCCTAAAATTTCAACCTACCGTTCTTGTAGCCTGACAAGCTTTGGCGCATAAATCCGACTTGCGTATCGTAGTTCTACCGCGTTAAGACTTTTTGTATACATATGGTGAACAACCTTGATCATTCAACCGCCAATTGCATTGCGCCTGAATCACATTCCTGTCGTCGCTTTGAAGTGCCTCCACTTGTTTGCTGATTTACTTGGTCTGGCGAGAATCTATTGCGCTATATCCATTTATTTCGATGCTATAACCGACTCCAGTACTTTCTCTAATGTCCGTACTTGCTTATGCAACGCTTCGCTTTGAATGATGTATCCGGGAAGTTCCTTTTTATTCCAGCATCCGTACTACGACACCGTTGGAGTTTACTAGAAGCTCTTCATGTTCATCACAACAAAGGTTGCCTCACCTCTCCTTTTCTTTTCAACTTTTTTGTCGAACTGATCACAAGTGACTCCATTTTTTCTCACTCCTCCTGTGTGGGTGTCCTGCCAGCTGACTGGCTGTCAAGTTTAGACCACGCAGATGACGCAATTCTTTTAAATCTGTCCCAGCTGCTTCGCAGACGTTACTGAGTAGGGTGGAAAGAGACAGCAGCAGTACGCCGGCACACTTTACCGACGCTTCACTCTGACGCGACCATCAGCAGCCGCCTGTGGGCTCGGAATGCTCGATGCACCCGTACCCACACGGATTCGAACCGGCGATCTTCGGATTACAAGGCAGACGCTTCATCTTTTCGGTCACCGATAGTTATTGAATAGCCTGACGTGTAGCATTGTGCGCCTCGGTGTGTGCTTTGCACCTTCAAAACGTAAGACACTGCTACAAGACTGTGTCAACACCTCACCAGTGTTCAAAATCAAGGAAGAACTGCTGGAAATAGTTGATCAGTTTAAGTGTCCTCGTGTATGTGCTTGTTTTACGCTGAGGTCATTACCGCTCAATTCGCTATGGCTCGTGTTCATCTGCAACACAGCAGTTACCTATTGAGACAAAGGTATGTGAGCTCAGTGACTAAGGGAGAAGTTTACAACCCTGCGGTACCATCGCTGTTACCGTACGAACAGGAGGCCTGGTCGCTACGTTCTGCGAACATTAACTGACTGACCATTTTTTACCACCGGTGCGTACACATCACAGAATTTCACTGCCCCGTGTACCATCGCGACGACACTGAACCCTAATGTGGTGCAATGGTTTGCGTGCCTCAATGACTCATTGAGCTTTGCTGGCTGGTGCTTTTGCACCTTCAGAACCACTCATACCCGCTACATCAATGGTTAGAGGCCAGACAAACTCCTGGCCCTCCAGGTTGGGGTTGGAGTGCGGGTGACTCTTCATTCCTTTAAACGGACTCCTTGTAGCCCGCTGCCAAACCCACTGTCTTGCGATAGGGTTTTTGAATCAAAGGCTTTGGCTGAGAACATTGGCAGTGTCTTGCCCACGCAATACAATGACCCTATCTTCAAACCATTTATTGATGCCCTGGCCGTCGCAGAGAATAATTGATGGGGATTGGATGTCGTTGCTCAAGCCTCCTTGTCTTCTTATTTCCCTCCTACGCTTTTTCACTCTGATCGGCCCCTTTTTAACTTCACTTTTATCCCCTCGCTTTCAGCCCCCAATTATTGCATCTCCACCACCTTTCAACTCACATGCAAATGCGGAGCGTAACTTCTGCCTCGACAAGCCCACATCTCGCTAGTCGTTTAAACCCAGTTCAACGGCTTCTATTTGGAGCCGTCGATCAACCCTCAGATTGGCATGCCTCACCGCACATACATTGTTACATATCGGTCAACAAGCAACACTTGCCCGAACATTATCAACTCTCGGTCGACATCTGCTGTTTATCTGAAATCCGCCTGCAAGACTCGAGCTCTGTTCTCGGTTTGCAAATCTATTCTCTTGACACTAGCAGTGCTTTCTCATTGTGCATATCCGGAGACCATGTGGTTTCGAGTGCAGATCTAGTCGGTGTTGGTACTGTCCTGAGTCCTCGGGTTGCAGCTGGTCTAGTTGATTGGATCCCCATCGGTAACCGGTTGTGTGCGGTCCTACTGGCAGGCTCGTTCAAAACTTCGAAATCGCGCGCTACTAATTGGTGTCTTTGTCACTATTGCCTACGCTCCCACAACTTGCAGCGCTGATTTGGCGAAAGACGACTTTTATCCTCAACTGAACCAACTCCTTTGCCACAAAATAAGCACAGACACTGTAGGAGTTGCTGGGGATCTGAACGCTCAAGTTGGGAACTTGTCCACTGATGAGCTCCATCTGGGTGGCCAACACGGTGTGGGCTCCCAAAATGATAGCGGCTTGCATCCGAGCGAGTAAGCGCTCACTGGACACAGATGAAAATCACTGGTCGTTTATCCACCAAATGTTATTGGCAGCAGTGATGTCTTCATGGTCACACCATTGAGTTTTTGGAACTTCGGACGCTCGCCGACGTGTTCCGACTGGCATCGAATAGAATGAGACTGGCAAATATCTCATGGCTAAACTACGTGCTAGCCTGAAGAGACCGTTACTTCTGGTGATCTCATTGCGCCTCGGAGATAGAGGTGACCTCTGGCCTTGTTAATTATCGAAAGTTATTCCATCTGATACGGGAAATGGGCAGCAGGAGAGTTAGTGTTAGCGAGACCATACGCGACGAGAATGGACAACCTATCCACAACTTGTTAAACCGCTTTGAACGCTTGGTCGGACAATTTGAGAAGTAGTTTAATCAAAGTTGTTAGCTTCTCCATCTGCCGACGATCGTCCTATTCCCTGGACCGTTTCCTTGGATCCGCCTTCATGCGCAGAAGTCGAACATAAGGTCAGACGGCTGCAATTAAACAAGACCGCCTTAGCAGATGGACTTCACGTAACCCTCCTCAAATTCGGAAGAACTACTCTTAGACAATTTGCATAACTGTGTATCTGTGGGAGCAACAGGCTGGAGCCTATCACTTATGGTCCCAATTTTCAAGGGAGGCTCCCTTTTAGCATGCGGCAGTCATAGAGGAAACAGTCTACTCTCAGTTGTCTAAGCTACTTGCCGCTGTCGTCCTCCATACACTGACTGGCACCCGCGAAAACCAGATGCGCAAGGAATAAGTCGGGTTTCGTCGAAATCGAGGCTGCATTGACATCTTCACATCACGTCAATTGTTGAAGCACCGCCATGTTTATTGGAGTCCCACCGTAGTCTTGTTTCTCGACATCAAAGGTGCCTTTGATCAGTTGATCCATGTGCTCTTTGGAATTGTCTGATGAGGAAAGGTGTGCCCGGGAGATATGTAACTATTATCCGAGCGCTTTATGCGCATAATTCTGGCTGTGCGATGGTTTACAATAAACTGTCGCTTTCCTTCGATATCGCCAGCGGTGTGAAACAAGGTTGCCCACTGTCATCTTTCCTGCCTGATTTCGCCATTGACAAAATCATCGAAACGGCGTTCGCTGGGCGCTACCTGGTGATAAACTTCTTGACGCGTAGTATGCCGACGACATTGCCATTATCTGTGACAGTTCCCCAACGTGCCAAGTAACACTGGATAAATTAGCTCTGACTGTCAATCTTTCCGGGCTATATTTCGCACCGTCGACATGCAAAGTCCTTCACCACGATTGACAGGGACCTTAACGTGGTGCGACGGTTTGCGTACCTCATTGACTCATTGAGCTATACTGGGTGATGCCTCCGGGCACCTTGAGAGCTACTCCTACCAGGTTGGTCAAAGGTGAGAGGTCAGACAAACTCAGTCTCCTGGTCCTCCAGATTGAGGGGTTGAAATAGGATGGCGTCCATTTCTGTAAAACTAGATCATTGCCACCTCCCCGCTGCCTTGCGGACAGGCTTTTGAGCCGAAGGCTTTGAATGAGGACCCTAATCGTCCTCCTGTCTAGGTCTGGGCGCCCTGGCAGTATCTCAGCCCACATACAACCATGACATCTTCTTCAAACCTAAACTTCATCCTGCATCGGCCGTCGCGGAGATTATCAAGAGTCGCATTATCTGCTGCATACAGCAGGGCGGATAAGCGAAAACATGCTACTGCTGGCGCCTCCTTTCTTTTCCACCTTTTTCTCTTACTTCCATCCCGACCCCCATTACCAACCTTCCTTCTATAATTCCCAGCTTAATTGACAGCAACCGAAGTGCCACTGGAGTAGAACCATCTGCAGTCACCATCCCAAAGCACCTATCGGCAAAGTCCTTTTAAGGCCACGCTGTCCCGTTTTCATGGCGACGTTCAACGTTCGCACTCTAAGACAAACAGGTCAACAGGCTGTACTCGCACGCACCTTGGACACACTGGGTATTGATGTGTGTTGTGTGTCCGATACTAGGATCAAGGCCCCTAACGGGGTTATTGAATTAACTGCATCCGGCTTATCCTCTTTTTATTGGTTGCACGCACGGGTCAAGCTGGTGTAGGTATCATTCTAGGCTCCAAGGCTGAGTCATCGTTGGTTGATTGGATTCCGGTGAACAGCCGTTTATGTGCAGCTCGTTTGACGACATCAGCTAAGGTTGATTCACGAAGTAGTAAAAGACGCTGTTTGTTCGTGATTTCCGCTTATGCCCCCACCGACTGCAGTTCAAATGCTGTCAAGGACACTTTCTGTCACGAACTGAACGCGCTACTACGCAGTGCTACTAGTTCAGATATTATAGTACTTGCAGGGGATATGAGCTCTTCAGAAGCTCAGCTGGGTGGTAATTGTGGACTTAACTCCGAACAGACTGACAACGGCGAGCGTCTGCTGCAACTGTGTGTGGAGCACCAGTTGTTTCTTAGTAGCACTGCTTTTAGACACAGTGGGCGCCGAAGTGCCACTTGTCGTCCTCCTGTAGCTGGCCAGCGATGGACCCAAATTGACCACATAGCCATAAGTTACAGATGGCGTGGTTCCATTCTAGATTGCCGCTCGTACTGGAGTACCTGTGTCGACTCTGATCATGCCTTGGTACTTTGTCGTTTCTCCATGAACTTTACCGGAAGGCGCACAAAGCGTCCCCTACGATTGGCAACTGAGAAATTGTCTCAGCCCTCGGTCAGGCAAGCCTATCAAGAAGCACTGCATACCGAACTTCCGCTGTATTGTCCTACTGACACTGAACTTCAGTGGAATAGGATCTCGGCCGCTATGCACGACGCAGGAGCATCTGTTTGTGGCACTATCAGTCTTCACCGCACCAGTCACTGGATATCCTAAAGGTCCGTGAACCTGTTGGAATCTAGAAGACACCTCCCGGCTGGTTCTGAACACAGTGTGACCAGACGGGCTATTAGGCGTGAACTAAAGCGTAGCCTATGTGCTGACAAGGAAGCCTGGTGGACCAGTCGGGCTCACGAAATGGAGGAGGCAGGAGCAGTAGGCAATTGCCGCAATCTCTTCCAGCTAATCCGCACCACTGGTCCCAAAAAACCAGGCGTCAGTGAGACAATCAGAGACAACGCGGGTGCGCTGATACACAATAAGGAGCGCCGTATGGCTCGTCGGGCTGAACACTTTGAAGATCAGTTCAGCTGGCCCACTGCTCCCGGACCTCTACCTACTCAGGTGCTGCAGGACGAGCCATGGACGGTTAGTTTAGAGCCTCCGTCGGAGGCCGAGGTCCGAAACGCGATCACAGCCGTTAATCGTTTTCGTGCCGCTGGCCCGGATTCCCTCCCACCTGCACTAGTTAAGGATGGAGGTGAGGTCCTCTGCAGGGCACTGACCTCCCTATTCGAACGTATCTGGAACGAAGTGTGCCGGCTAATTAGAGCGAATCGATTATAGTGGCAATATACAAAAAGGGCAGTCGCACAGACTGTGCGAACTACAGGGATATTAGCCTAACGCCAGTTGTGACAAAATTACTGGCCTCTATTCTCGTTCGTCGCCTCACTGCAGAACGGGAATCTCGGATTAGGGAAGAGCAGGCCGGTTTTCGCTCGGGACGTGACTGTATAGACCATATATTTACTTTGCGGCAGGTGCTAGAGCAGCGCCACGCATACCGCAGACCGACAATAGCTGTGTTCCTCGATTTCAAGAGTGCGTTCGATTCAGTCGATCGATCGATTCTGTTCGAAATACTTGCGCGGAAAGGTGTTCCCACGAAATATGTGAACATCTTTCGTGCTCTATACTCGAACACTACAGGCCGCGTCAGGGTCTATGGTGTCCTATCGGAGAGCTTTCCGACCACAAGTGGCGTTCGTCAGGGTTGTCCGATTTCCCCATTTTTGTTCAATTTCGTCGTGGATTCTATCATGGAGTGTTCCCTTGCGGAATCGCATGATGTAGGCGTTGAAGTGCTGCCTGGTGAAAGGTTAGTTGATATAGATTATGCGGACGATATCGTCTTGCTTTTCGACAATGTTGGGGCGGCACAATCAACCCTGAATAGCCTGTCCAGCGTGGTCCCATTATTTGGTATGCACTTTGCACCTTCAAAGTGCAAAGTGTTGCTGCAGGACCACCAGCCACTTGATGCCCCCTTGACGCTTGCTAACGAGGAACTCGAGGTAGTTGATCATTTCACTTATCTTGGCAGCTGCATCAGCAATGATGGACGCATAGAAACTGACGTGAGCTCACGCATTGCAAAGTCCAGAGCTGCCTTCTTGAACCTGCGGCATCTTTGGCGACAGAAGGAAGTTTCTCTTCGTCTGAAAGGCCGTGTATACAAGGCCACAGTGAGGGCCGTTCTGCTCTATGGTAGTGAAACTTGGCCCCTTCGGTCTGAAGATCTGAGGCGCCTTCAAGTCTTTGATCATCGTTGTCTGCGAAGCATTGCTGGTGTCGGATAGCACCAGCGTATCCGCAACGATGATGTGCGTAGGCGAGTACTAGGTGGTGATAATCATGCTAGCTCCCTAGAACAACAGATAGCACTGAATAAGTTGCGTTGGCTTGGGCACGTGCTACGTATGCCTGGTCACCGTTTACCTAGGAGGGCCTTGTTTGGTCTGCCAGGTGTAGGATGGCGCAAGGCTCGCGGTTGACAGAAGTTGACTTGGCAGCGGGAAGTGAAGTCACTGACGACCAACCTGGGTGCTGTTGGTCCGTCTCGTCTTCCGGGCTGGAGTCCACGTGACTCGCCTTGTGCTTGGCTCGAGACTACAGGACATAGCTCGCAACCGACACCAGTGACGCGTCTGCTGCCATCTAATCGGATTGCCTGTTTAAAGTGTGTTTGATGCTGAGTTATCTGCGGGGTAATGGCTGATTATGACGCGTGGCAGTGAAAGCCGCAAGAAAGCTGTCTCGCCGATGCCGCCTTATCTTTGCACGATAGCCAGCTGTTTATGACAGTATGTTGTCTTCACAAGGTGTAGGCGCCTTGACCCTGGATGTTTGCTTAGGGCATTAAGGTTTTCAGGTAAGTCCCCCTTCTCTCCCTCTTCTTATTCTTTATTTCATAGGTCCTCATGGTTGTATGGCAGCGAGGCATCAGTTCAAATGGCTGATGTACTGCTGTTGATGATGATGAGGAGGAGGATGAGGATGATGAAGGTGCTGATGATGATGGTGATGGTGATGATGATGAATAGGAGGAGGAGGATGAGGGTGCTGCTGATGATGATGATGATTGCTGAGAAAGTAATATTTAATGATGATGGTGATGATGGTGAACTGCTCAGTATTTGATCGTAGGTCTAATAATGCCTTATTAGAGTGCCTGTTGAATTCAAACTGTCTTTGTTGCTTCAGTCGTCTGTTCCCCATACTAGCGAGCGGACCACCTCACCGCTTGCTTTTTCCAATATGATGATTACTTGGGTGAAGGCTCAAGATGACCTGTAATTGGTAGGCCAAAGGATGTGAAGCAACTTAATGAAAGGCTGGTTTGTGATATTCGTCTTCTCTGTTGATCGGCCCACCATTGGCTAGTTGCTTTATTATATATGATACTATTGCGATGTCAATGGCGCCCTTGAATTATTCTCTCTATTCCTGTCCTTTATGACATCTCTCTGTTGATTTTATTTCGTGCTCATTTCTCTGGCGTACTGTTATTTTAGTACTGTCATTCTTTCAACGACGTGTACCAATTCAATTGGATCCAATTCATCGCGGTACACGGCTGCTACTTCAGTAACTGAACTGAACTGCCTTCTGCTGTTACCCGTTTTTTCTTGGCACTTGTATACGTCTTTTTATTACGAGTAGAATATGGTATACTTCCATCCGACCAAACGTTCTAGCAATCCGGTTTAACCTACATCAGTTCATGACAACTCGTTTTGTCTTTTAAAAGGATTGCCAGTGGGAGTGAAGTTTTATTTCCCATCTCGACTTTTCCTCACGCAATTTTTTTTGGTCTCTGTCTTTTCCAGCACTCAGGAGGTCGTCTTCTATGACTGGGTATCGGGTTCCAAACTCTCTGTATGGCGTTTTGTCTCCAATTACTCTCGCGTTCGATGGGTGAAGTTCAGTCCGGATGGAAATCTTTTGTATACTGCGACCGCAAATCCATCAGCAGCTAATCCTCCGAGTTCCGGAAGGCTACCTGTTGCTAACAGCGACAATATTCATTCTCGATCAGCGTCGTTGTCATCGCCTCATGGTGAATCTGACGAGACGGATCCCGGTAACTGCATTTTTTTGATTTTCACCTTATCGTGTCATAGCACCCACTGGCCAACAATAGCTCGTTGATGGTATCCTGTATTTTACATTCTTGATCGTGCTTTGGTTAAGAGGATATAGTTTCATTTCTTGGCTTCTTTCCCTGTTTGTATCAACAACTGTTTGTGCATCCAAGCCATTTTCGTCCATGGGTTGTCAAGTCCCACCACTTATCCCTCTAGGGCCGGTACTCAAGTTACTTTCCCCAGATGAGTGTGTTGTCTGCATCGATGCATCTGATGTGAATGCATCCAACGGTCTGCGACCACCAGTAAGTATTGGAGTATAGCATGCATGCCTAATTGAAGATCTTTCGAGGGCCGTTGTAATGAGGACCTCACACGACAACGAAATGAAACACTATATATATATATATATATATATATATATATATATATATATATATATATATATGTTGCTGCATTCTTGATGCTTCTTCACCGCAGTTGGGCTAAACCAACCTACACTTAAACTCGGTCTCTTTAAGCTGCATAAATTTCATTCCAGTTTATTTGGTTAGTTTTGCCTATCTGAATAGTCTTCTATTAGCTGGCCACGTCGCTTACGCTAATTGCGCATATCTTCGGTAATTTTGTTGCGTTTGTAGCATTTTTGAGTAACTTGTGGACATTTTTTCCTTATCACGGATTCATTGCTAACCAACTTACTTCATATGCTAACTTAGCGAAGAGTTATGCCACCGTATCTGTATGCATTATTGGATTTATGTTATTTCATTTTGTCGTTTCAAGTGATTGGCTGTTGCGTGCTATCCCCGGTGTGGCTGCGCTTGATGTGCATGTTGACAAGGTGCCTACCTGTCTATTACCCACTACCTCGTCCATACTGGCTCCAGGAGACAGTTGGTCGTTGCTGGAGGGGACGGGGTGCACGGTCCTTATGGCCGTGCTAGGCTCGAAGAGTGGTTCCATGCACTCAGTGTGGAACGGACTACGGTCCAGCCACCGCCTTGTGTGCGCTTGATTCCCCAAATACAGTGTGTTTGTGTTTGCCTGTGAAGGAGTGTGGGCCGGCTCCGTTGATGAAACGTGGTTCCCATCCACATGCCTCCCGGTCTTATTCCTTCGGGTTTACACTGGATATGGGATGTGTGGTTGGAGCTGTGGGTGGTGCAGCGCAAGCCACCCATGCTCCCTCTGTAGGCGCAGGCGTCCTGTGGCTTGCCACAGTGACAGGCAAATCCGAAACCGGATGCCGCCAACCATATATAATGCTACATTATTCTTTGTACAGACCGCATGTTGGACGTTCCTGTGCACTTATGCTCGTCTTTTTACTGTTGAAAGCATTTGCATGACCGGCCGCTGCGCTTACAAGCTCTGTCCATTATTTTACTTTCGCTGAACTCTTATACTAAACTCTTTTTTCACTTAACGTTCCCTTAAACCTCGATTTAATTGCCTGACTTGGGCTGCTACCCGATGTACTCCATCCTCCCGTTCACCTGAGCTGGTGATTCGGCCCACCCCACTTTACTTTTCTCAGTCCACTAATCTACATCGCTCAACGGGCTAATTTTCTGTCTTTATTTGCCGTTTAATCAACATATTGTATGTGGTTCAAAGTAGCAATCATGCTGTACCGACGGCTTTTACGTTCCCCTTACGTTGGGCACATCATTGATCCTTATGCTCGCGTTATCATTCATTTAGGACACTTCATGCCCTCCCCACTGTACTTATTTGAGTAGAACTATCACGCAATTACGTTCTGTCATCTAACATTGCAGTTTTTATAGTTTTACTTGTTTTTTTTCACTCAGCCCACCTGGATCGTCTTCGTCTTCCTCGTACAGTAACGGATCCTTTTGTCATTCCTCTCGATTCCTTATTGGAATTTCTCATTAGACAGCCAGATTCTTGGTTCCACGAAATCGGTGTGTGTGAGATATGCTCCATCCGATTATGTCGATGGGCTGGGACGTTGGGACCACGACATCGAACTTCCACGCCGGACCTCCGACAGGGTACATACGTAGCCGCGCAAATCGCCCAAAGTGTCGCGAACGAGTTCCGTCTTGCCGGATTTCCTCCGTCTAACATGTTACAGGAACTCATATCTCCGTCTTCAAACACACTTCAGCAGATTCAATCCGACGCTAGCCCATCGGCAGTCGCGATCATCGAAGATATGCCCGTTCGTGAATTCTTATTGTCACGTGGTAATTATTGTACAAGGCCACCAACCATCCTTTCGGATGGAGGACTGTGTTGTGGTGGACATGCTTGCGACTTGGTCCTTATGCATCGTGAACTAATGAGACATTCTCTGTGCCGATCTTGTCTGTCGTCCTTCTGGAAATGGGCAAGTCCTCGTGTCACTTGGTGGCAATGGTCCAATGGTTGTTCAGCTACCCATTCCATATGTCGCTCCCCTTATTCCTCGAGCACCACCATACAGCCAATGGAAGACGAACCTTGTTTCGAGATCTCAAACCAGATTGGGACGACGACTGACGTAAGTGTTTCCCAATATTTGTATGTAATTTAATGTCCTCTTTCATTTACCCCCGTCGCTTTATTAGTCTTTCGAGCCTATCAGCAAGGCCCGCGTGGTTTTCCATCTATGGAAATAGCGTGATATCCGCCTGTCAGTGACAGTATATAACGCTGCGGTAAAGCCGGTGTTACTGTATGGATCAGAGACCTGGTCGATTTGTGGCGAAAACACTGTGTGCTTGTCTGTGTTTGACCACCGGTGCTTTCGGAGTATTGCTCACGCCTGGTGGGAACACTGAGTGAGCAATGCTAAGGTCGGCCAGTTGGTTTTTAGCAAGAAGCCTGGTTCCTCCCTCGAGTGTTTACTGAATCTTAATCGGTTAAGTTGGCTAGGCCATGTCTTCCGTATGCCCGTTGACCGGCTTTTACGGTGTGCATTATACGCCGCGGCTGCTCCAATTTGGGGGAAACTGTGAGGTGGCCAGTCCATGACATGGCATAGAGGCATACAGAAATTGACTGAGAAACTTGGTCAGGCTGGTGCATGCCCTCTTCGTGGATGGGGGTCTCGAAACGCTCCCCACTGATGGTTGGGGTCCGTATCAGACATGACGCAGTCACGCACTCAGTGGCATTCCTGCATTCGGTTTCCTGCATCCGATTGCTAATTTGCGTTCCATTCCGATTATTTTAACGCATTTCCTTGTTGCTTTCATTTTCTTTACATTCTATTTGCCTTTAACCTCACTATCTTGCCGTTGTTGATTGCTATTCTTGCGATGTGTCGTGGCAACTGGATTTACCGCACTTCGGTGCTCGGCTCATAGTTGTTCGACTAAACTGAAGTGAATCTTAAACCGCTTGGCTGATGGACTTTCCTGTATTCTTATGAGGCCGGTCAATTTTGTCATTCAGTTCTTATTTCCATCGGGCAACTTAATGTGGTCGTATCTAGTAAGCTTACGACTAATGGAAGTCGATGACAACGCGCTACGAGTATATCAATGTTAGGAACCCTATCTTTCTCGATAAACCGAAACACGACTCATGAGGAGGTCAGTTTCCTGTGCGCATTTTGAAGCGCACGAAGTGGAGATACTTGACATATGTGCCCAAATCAAGATGCTTGTTCGTTTACAGTAGAGTATTTCGTGGTCTACCTGGAGTCAGCTCACGATATGGCGGGCATTAAATCACCTATCTGCAAATACTTGTTTTAAACCGAAATGCCTGTTCTCTACAGTATCCAAAACATAGGCGGCAACATGAGCAAGAATGGTAAAGATGATCGAAATTTTTTTACCTGGAAAACTTATTTCGATTCTGAAGTTTTTCTACCCTGACTCCCGAGGTCGGATAAGAATCTATGGGAATCTGTTTTCTGAGTTCCCCACGACAAATGGGTTTCACCAGGGCGAGATAGAACCCGCGACCTCCAGCGCTTGTAAAATCGACGCCATATCCTTTCAGCCACTGGCCGGACTCCATCTTTTCCGTTGTCATATATCCGATTATATCCATGGTACTCATGATTTTTCACACACTTTATGCATTTTACTTCTGAATCTACACGATACGAATAGCTATGCCTCTGTTTCTGTTAATTGGTGAAGTGTATTGATAGCTTGAATCTTATGTTTGGTGAAAGTAAAACGGAGAAACAGCTGCAGTTACATTAAATGGAATCAAATAATCTCACAGCGTTTAGTCACTTTTAGAAGTTGTGTATTCTTTTAGAAGTATGCTTATTATCTGAGACAAAAGATCACGTGAAGCTTCTGGGGGAAGTCCCATCTAACGTCTGCGCAGTTCTAGATTTATTCACTCCTCTGTCATTTGCGGATACTTCAGCGTGTTCTCCACCACATCCCAGTCCCATTGAACTGAGCTTCTGTCATCTGCTACAACAATGGTTACTTCGAACTCCTTGCGCCCACCTAACTCTGACCTGTGTTAGGTATGTATTCCGAATTAGGTACCATCAGAGCTGCGTGCAACTCTCAACCTAATGAAGTCCCACTGACAGCCGCAATGTGTAGATATACTCGGAAGGATCTGCTCAACCCCTTATCCTGTTCGCTTCAACCCAAATGCTCATTCATCCATGATAGCAGCTCCAAACACAAACTATGTCTATGCAAACCACACAAGATTTGTTGACATTGCTGTCATAGAAACTGCCAGCGAAGATTTCTAGGCTTTGCGCCCAACCTGTCAATCTTGTTATCTCGGTTAGCTGACTCACTGGTTGATTCGAACATTACTATATCCATCGCAAGGCTTTCGAACACACCCTATCAGGTGTTTTGCAACCGAACTGCGTGCATTCTTATTTTCCTGCTTAGCAGAGCTATCATAATCGGTGAAAACTGGCACCAAATCCTTTAATGCGCGTATGTTCACTAGCGGCGTTGTCCATGATGGTGTGTCAAGCCCTCTGTTATTCTTGACCCACTTTGAACGTGTCAATCGTATCTTGGCATCAAAAGTCTATACTTTTCGACATGATAAGCACCAATCAACGACAGGTGCGCTGTTCTAATGTTTAAGCTTACACCATCACATAAATGGTGCTACCTTTCAGGATTCTGTAGCTTTTAAAAATGTTGCCATTACTCTGGATCGAGGTGGGTAACTTTCCGGATTAGACGAGAAACCAGTTTATCATAAGTAAGTAGCAAATCATCACTTCTCTCACTAGACTTGAACTATGTAGATGTTGCAGTGATTGTCCACGGAGTTATGCAGCTTTGCACAGTAATGACAGGCTTCCAGTAACCTCTCGCCAAAGATTTAAGCACCGCGCTGGCCTTTCTATCAATTGGCGAATCGGTCGATCATTTTGCTTATCTAGATACGGTTGAACTGAAGAAGTTACTGCACACGTCACAGGCTAGTTTTACCTTTCAAGCTTACATCCCTCCATCGCTTATGAAGAAGGCATTCAGTGCCTGCGGTGTATTGCTAATAACTACCACTGAAGTTCGCCATTATGCGTTTAACAACAGACTCGCTCGTCTGACTTGGTCATGTGTTTCACAATTCTACTGACGGGCTGTGCATCAAAAATGGGTTTTGTGCGTTGCATCTTGTTCGGCGGACTTCAGAGGCCATCGATCAATGATCCGATAGCAGAACATCAAGAAACTCATCAAAAGCTTAACTATGTCTGTGGTTGTCGTTTCCTAGACTGGGTGTATCGGGTCCGATCACAACGATAACAGTCTACTGCTTTCTCTACTGTGATGCAGTCACGAAAAGAACCGTGCCGTCGCATTCATTCTTTTTTTCGACTACTCTACTGCGTCTGGCGCTTTTAAAGTTCCCATCTTGTTTGATTAATACCGTTACTGTTATCTTCGGTTATGTGTCCCAAAGCTACTACACAGATCCTAATTGCTAACCTGAGTGAAATTAAGCAGACGTAATGCCAATTTTCCGTTTGCGCTACATGCGTGGCGATCTATCTGTTAACCCCTGGGCAAATTAACTACCTCTCTGGAGCATCCAACCACAATCTAAATGACTGTTTTTTAAAATTCCCTATCACGTCTTATATGATGGAGTCTTGCTCGACCTGGAGTCACAAGAATACGATCCCAGCCATCAGGAACTACGCACTACTTCTACCACTGTCGGTAATTTCGTGTGCTGTCATGCTGGCATGGTTTTTGCTTGAAAACCACAGAATCCACTGTGTGTGCGATCTTTACTTCCACTATTCGCATTCGATTTGATGCCCTTTTATCTTTGAATTAGACCCGAAATGCACGGCCGACTTGTATCTATAAAGCAACTTTATCTCCACTTGTGAATGTTTTACGGTTCTGTAATATTTTATTCCTTGCTTTTTTGTTGTTTGAGATACAAGATGAAAACGGTGACACGGGCAAACTACGATATCTTTTTTGAACCTGTGCGTCCTTCAGTTAACCTATCGATCACCATTTGCCTTTTCGGACATCCATCGTTGGTTCACACACAATTTTCCTTATTTGCGCTCTCAACCATAAAATGCAAATTGTCGCAGCTGCACTCTCACATTTCTGATTTATGACATCAAACGTATCTCACTCTTAATTTCGCCTGTTTTCTGGACTCTTTCATTTATCGGCTAGCGTTGGCTTTGTTTTTCTCTATTTCTATCGACCAACGTCATTACCTTGTTATTTTTTGACTGAGAAGTAACAAATGCGCTGAGTTTCTGCGTTGTCCTCTCACTCTCTTAGCTCTTTATCCATCTCTCGTTCGCCATTACTGCTTCACTTTAGTGTTCTCTATTTGGTCGCATTCCTGGCTTCCTTGATTTCTTTCCATGTTCATGTTGTGTGCAACCTTTCCCCAACTTGTCCTAGAGGGATTCTAGCTTGCATCACTTTTAAACTACCATACTCAGCTACCTGTACGCTTTTCTCCATCCTTTTAGGCTTGGCTGCCGAACCTACCATAGACTTTTGCTTATCTACACCTACGTCTTGCTTATTTGAATTCCATTCTATCTCGTTCTTGCATCTTGCTAACTGACCTTCATCCGTTTGCCGGCTAAACTGGGTCAGCTCGGCTATCTTGCATAATTTATGCATTGTTCTCTGGTATCCATCCGGACATATTTTGTTTGCAAATCGGCACGCAGCTGACCGTGTTCCACACTGGAATCCACAAATGTATGCTGCTGCGTGACAATCCGATCCGGAGGGTTCGTTTTTTCTGCTTCTCTACTTCCGATCTGGTCACTACGCACAGCAAAGTGCGATAAACCACACGACCGATAGTCTACTTTTAATTGCACCTTTTGCTCTCGCCACTAAACAACTGGTGATAGGAATTGTTCACCATGCTGTCTGTGAAATAGCTCATCTCATCGATTTCTGATGAGTAACATTGGGTGCGCCTCATTCTACAGTCTTCGTGGCTTACAGGAAACATAAGTAAGTCATCAACATTACGACGATACACTGTGCCAACGCTTCGCTACCACGCGACCACCACCAGTCGCGCGTGGACTGTGTATACCGTGAAGACGCCCGCCCCTACGCCGGTAGTAACCGACCAAGCGCGCAATCCTTTCGGCTATCGGCCGAAAAATCCGTGTCCTCAAAATGGATGGGCTTCGTGCCTCCCGAACAACGAGATATTGCAGCATCGTGAGAGGGGGCCTGTTACAGAACTGATTATGAGTAAGCATCGAGACGACACTGGCAATGCTTGTTGTTGCCTATAAGGTTTCCGTCAATTCGCCGTGATATATGCGGAGACCGGAGTCATCGATTGCTCGCTGATTGCTTACGTACATACAGGGTGGCGCGCAAAATGTCATGCCATTTATTTTGTTCATTACACATGTAAGATTATGGATATAATATTGAAAACTTTGGTTTATGGAAAATCCGGTATATGTCACGAGGAGTTTGTATGGCATATTTTCTTGCCGCCAAACACAATTTTCAAGATGATGCACAAAGAGCTGATTGAGTATTGAACAGGAGGGGAAGTTATGTTTTTTTTTACAGAAATGCGAAGTTTTATAGCGATACAAAGACGCTTTCTGGCACACTTTCATACATGTAAACAGGCTTTTCTGAGATTGTATCGTCAATTTATAACAGCTGGCTCTGTGGTAGAGAAGAACCGACGGCGCAGACCAAGTGTCCGCATCCCTAAAAACATAGACGCGGCTCGCATTGCTTTAACCAGAAGTCCTAGCAAATCAACAGGAAGAACGGCTGCTGAGTTAGTAATATCTCGTCGGTCCATACATTCTGCATTCTGATCTTCAAATGTTCCCTTACGTGATAACATTTGTCCATAAATTAACGGCAGAGGATAAGCAACGAAGACATCAGTTCGCTTCATGGTTAGTGCAAGAGGATCACGTTCTGTACGACCTGTGGCTTACTGCTGAGGCGTATTTTCATTTAAATGCTGTAATGAATTAGCAAAGTGTTCGTTTCTGGGCAGGTGAACTGAATACTGTATTATAGAGCAAGTAGAAATGAATTCTGTACAACTCTTTCGAAATATGGTGAAAAACGTTATAAAAATTGTCAGCCGTGAATATCGTTATCGTTCTCATGTAACATTTGAACATCTGACTCACGGTATTGCGGGACTCACAAATGTGACATGTCATCGTAAGTGTGCAATCGTTTTCTGAATCGAATAGCGGTAAAATATAAATCTAAACGTTTTGAACTGCTGCACAGATGTTGCCTCCATCACAGATTCAGGCAAACTGTTCTAAATATTTACCACTCTCCGTTCGAAGCACAGTGAGTGGGGAACACATTTCACATCCGGCACTACAAGTTTGTATCTGTGTCCACTTGTGCTGCATGGCCCTCGAATGTGCAGCATTCGCCTCAGCATGGGGAAATCACCGAGATGTAGAATACGGTAGGCCATTATGAGGTCGACTCGCACCCGACGGTATGACAAGGTGTAGGGTCCTAGTTTCTCCCACCGGTCTTCATACCCCAAGCTACGTACATTCGGGATGAGCCTGGTAGCAACTTGTTGTATCCGTTTGATCTTTTGTGCCTCGCCTCGGGTAATCGGAAAGTAGACGGGCAAACCGTACTCTAACATTGGTCTAATGATGGAAGAAAACTGGCGAGTGGCAACCATCTGCCAAAGCTGCGTTTGAGCGCCCAAAGCATGCGCAATGCGTTACGATATAGTCTGTTCGTGTTGTCCACGGACTTCAAATCGTAGCGTGAGAGTACACCTAGGTCCATCATGGAAGGTGTGGGATATAGCGGTTGGCCGTCAAGGGTGCAGGTTCGGCCGTCAGCACCCTTTTCCAGGCTCATAAATACAGACTTGGCTGGGTTGACCGGGAGAAGAACCTCTGCAAGCCATGTGGATAATAAAAAATAAAAAATATGTCAGCTGTACGCCGTAACGGCGCTTCGCTGCCGCGCGACCACCACCAGTCGCGCGCGGGCTGAGTATACCACGAGGACGCCCGCCCCTACGCGGATAGGCCATGTGGATAGGGGGTTGAGGTCTTGCTGAAGTAAGCCACAGTCATCGGGAGCGTCAATTTCTCTCCACATCTTCATGTCGTCCGCAAACATGGCACACGGCGACCGGAGAAGCTGCGGTAGATCGTTGATATGGATCAGGAACAGAGTGGGCCCCAGCACAGTGCCTTGAGGCACGCCACTTGTAGAGGGATGCCAGTCAGTTAGATGGTTGTCGACCTGTACCCTCCACTTTCGTCCAACATGAAGGTCGCCCCACATTCTGCATAAAGGGAAAATTATATAGGTAAGGTCAGTTTATGGGCAGCAATTTCAGTCCATGGAATCATCAGACCATTTTTCTTTGTTGAGGCGGTACATAAAGCTAGGTATAGGGACATATTGGACAATAAATTTATTCCAGAAATCTTGGAAACAGATCTCCCATTACAAACTCAATAGTTCGTGCAAGACGGAGCCCGCCCACAAACTGCAAAGGTTGTTTTTGATTACCTTTATGCCATGTTTGATAGGCGGATAATTTCACCTCGGTTTCCTGAGCGTCTCCAAAATGCGAGACAATGGCCCCCGCATAGCCCTGACATCGATCCGTGAATTCTTGTGCGGTTACTACAAAGCTAATGTCTTCACAAACCAACCTGCAAGTGCAGCTCAACTGAGGGCTCTCTCATGCCGTTGTGCCGTCTAATTTCGGAAGATTTGCGGTAAGGTTGTGACATATATAAAGCTTCGCTTGCAAAAGGTTATAGAACAAATCGTTGATCATATTGAACACAAGCTACAATGTACTAAATTTCTATGCTCATACAATTACTTTTGCACTAACATAATAAGTTTTGATGATAAATATGTACTGAACAAAACAAATGGTGTGACATTTCGTGCGCCACCCTGTATTTACACGTAATTATGTCATCTGCGCTAAACACCATCTTGAAATCTGCAGTTGCAGTTATATTCGGATTGCGATTTCTCATGCCGCGCTGCCTCAGCGCTGGGTGTAAATCCGATTTACGCAACCTCTCGGCCAAGGACCTGCTTACTTATTCTTGTTGAGTCATTATCACAACTAAAGGCCGGTTGCTATTTCAGACTTTTTTCAAGGTTAACCAAACCGTGACTTTATCCTCCTACACTTAAGCTTTGCGGTTCGTCGTTGAAGTTCCTGTGAAGTTCGAATCGTCTTCGGTAGCTGGGCCTTGTGCTCCTGATTCCTGCGAGCTGACCGCCCCATCATGTACTGTGTTCAAGCACTGCGGCTAGTCCCCGAGTAGCCAGTCAATGACTTAGTAAAAAGGGATGTCGAAACACACCGAATGATTGGCCTAGGTTAGTACTGGTTGCCTTCCCCTATTAGGCCATTGTGATCGACCACATCAGTGGTTGGACACGTTATTAGATATGGTGTGGTCATGATGTCAGCAGGGCTCTTGGGTTCCCTCCTTCACTCAGAATCGTTGATTGTTTCATTTTTCGATTTAACTTCTCCACTCATCTGTTTGCCACTACCACTATTATTATTATTATTATTATTATTATTATTATTATTATTATTATCTTGGTGATGTGTCAAGGCAGCTAAATTCTCCCGCACTTCAGTACGCCGATCAAAGTCGATGAACTGAACTGAAGCGGTGCTAAATTCACCGACTTTTGTTTTTGAATAGTTAAGATTATTATACGTATGTTAACAAGTTTTAAGTTAGCCATACTCGGTTTAACTACTTCCGTTTTTTACTCCAGCTGCAACGACGAAGCCCCCAGTCTTGATGCTTGATTCCTGCTATCTTTCGTTTTTTCCGTGTCTACACCGTTTGTATTTACCTCTCTACGGTAGCCTCACTTCCGTTTTCATCGTCTTTCCAGGTTCCGGACACAGCGCGCACAGAAAATCCTCTCCCTGTTGAACCCCCTGTAGGCGTTTGCGTCCGCTGCCAAGCTGGTGTGGGCCCTCTACAAAATCCTCCGTTTTCAACCGAGGCTGTAGATTCACCTCGATCATCTCGAAACGCAGATGCCTCGACCCATGAAGGAGCGCTTCCACTAGCCGCGTTGGAGTTGCTACGGTCCAGGCTGAGCAATGCCCACGAGGTCACTGCGGTCACATATATGGCCCCAGATTTGATCAGCGATGGCCCAGTAACTGAGTTTATTCGTCAATCCCTGCGCTCCGCAACGACTATGCCTTCCACAGCCGGTCTTCCACAGTGTGTGGTTACTTTGCTACGACGCGCTACCTCAATGCATTCAGGGAACGCCAATTCACCGCAACCGAAGGTGAGTTCCATGGATTGACAGTTGGACATAGGCTAACTGCATTGAAGGCTGAACACATTTTGTCACTGTTGTGTTTTATTATGATTTACCCCCGAAACTAAAGGGTGATTTCTTGTGCACGACGGGTTTCGTCGCGAATTCACAGTTCAATTCAATTTTACTTGGAATACATGTCCAGAACATCCTTAACCTTCTATCTAACTGTTTATTCAGCGTCGACGAATGGAAAGTTCCGCACCGTTTGGGGAATCGGATTCTTTTCCACATGATATGCCATCCTGTTCCTGGTCGAGGGGCAGTGCATCCAATGCAGCGTCTCCCATGAACCCTCTCAGGAACTCTCTCACTACTGAGATCGACGAATCTAGATTACATGTCAATGACACCTCACCAGATTCACGCACAGTTCCTAGCTTGCCAGATGAAGCTGCTGTGTTTGGTCGACTACTTTCGCGTTGTTCCATTTGTCCTTGGAATCTCCCACGACCGGCTCGTGTGATTTCTCAGTCCTCTGTTACGACATCTTCGCCTCCGAAGCTGCAGCTGTTTCCGTTTGTGGATGCGGGTACTCGACTGCTGCGTCCTGTTTCCCGCTCCGCCTCACGTGGGTCGAACAGCATGGACTGTGTTACGACGGATGCGCCGTTCGATCCTGAATCGGTAACTCCACTCCCCGGACGCGAGGCTGATCAGTCTTACGATACTGATGGAGGTTAGTTTAAGACACATCGGCAGATTCCCTTGTCAGTGTTTATTTTGTGTGAATTGTGTGGATGGATTACAGCATGCAGTCTCAATGCCGTATCTTGCATTACAGTACACCTTTGTCATTATCTCGGCCACTAGGTCCGTTCCAAAAGCTGATCGCAATGATCCACTAACTCGGCCGTATGATGCGATGTTGGAAGCGAACGGCACCTACCCTTAATCGCTAAATCTGTCTTCTTCCAGCTGGGGCAATCCCGCTTGCTTCTGCGGAGTTACTCGTCCGCATGGTGGACACAGTGGGTCCTTAAGACTGACTTCTTAACACAGTATGAACGTGCGTCATTTTCGGTGACCTTTTAAACTATGTAACATCGTAAGCCGTTTTTGTTCTTATGCATAGTACCGCTGTGTGAGGTGGATCTAAGTAATATTCAACTTATGCTTTGACACTCGCATTCTCGTCCCACTTTACCATGTTGTAGGTGGCGGTGGATGCGTCGTTTGCTTGCAAAATAGGCTACTAACGATTTGCTCTTATTGTGTATTACCAAGTACCAGTGAAGTGAAAAAGAAACATTTTCTCGGAAAGGTAGCCAATAAGGATGGGCAATGAATTAGCTTCATTAGCAACAGAAGGGTCTATCCGGCACTGGCACACATGGACGAGCTGTTGCCCCACAGAGGACGCAACATGCGAACACGAGTGAGGCTGTCATTTTCATTTGCACCCCAATTTCCCATCACGAACCCAGTGACTATTCTTTCAAACTTAGTCTGCGTATGCCTATACGCTATCGGAACTTATAACATGGGATAAAGCTACAAACGATTGCTGTCGGCCGGTGGCCGAGTGGTTGGCACGTTTGCTTTCCAACCATAAGGTCACCGGTTCGAATCCGCGCAGGGGTGGGCGTCCTCGCGGTATACTCAGCCCGCGCGCGACTGGTGGTGGTCGCGCGGCAGCGAAGCGCCGTTACGGCGTATAAGCTGACATATTTCATTTTTTTCATTTCACAAACGATTGCTTACAGTCGAGTCTTTTCACTCCTTTTCTTCCTTCCGTTGAACACTTACGAAAATCCTGGCGTTCTGTTTGTACTCGTTGCTAGGGCGAATTCTCTGTCTTTGTGTCCCTGTTTTCATTTTAGTGGCTGCTACATTCTGTGCTCCGTTCGTTCATTTAGTGCACCACAAACGCATCGGAAAGCAGGTACTTTCAACTAGTTCCCTACAGTAGACTTCCGTTTCTGATGCAGTTCAGAGTGATAAGAACATTTAGCTGTACTATCCGAGCTCCTCGGAGTTTCAGTTCATTATCCTACTTCGGAACCATTCCCATCGCCTTGTATGCTGACTTGTTCCAGCCGTCTACTTATCGTCAGAATAACATGGCTCCCCTAGATACAGGAACTATTGTGCTCCGCTTATTACCTTTCACTTTTTAATCTTGGCTTGTCAGCTGATAGCGATTTCTGACGATAAATGGACTGCAGCACTTTTGTTTCAGTCGTATCTTCGTCGAGGACCACGCAAACATTTTTAAAGACCTTTCGATCTCCACGCATAATGATAATGCACAAATTTTTGCAATTTAGACACCGCTTCATCGTCTTTTTCGGTGGATTCATGATGGTATATTGCTATTAGCGAATAAACTGTGTGTTTACACCAGTAGTCAATTACACAAATGCCCCCTATCTGTCAGTCCGTCATTCTCCACTAGATGCTTGTCTAAATGCCCTATCCCGACGAATTGGGCGAACACCGTGGTACCCTGTAGCTACTCACTTGGTGGAGTACGTTTACAACGCTCCATAGTACTACAGGTGCACTGTATGTATGTGTGTTCCAATGAACAGCTCAACTTCTTCATCGATCCATGTACACTCGTGGTCCTGCTACCGTGGTCAATTCTGATGCATCATGAGCCAACGCTTGTCTTTTCTTCGAGAGCACAAAGCTCTAGTTATATCCCGCAGTCGCTCAGAATCTCATAAAGCGATTTGAGTACTTCGCTTCTAAAATCTGTTGACGATAAAGCGCTTAATGATCGAACATCAAAGGGGGAAACACTATTGTCGTCTTTTGCTGCGTATCCTACGCTGGCTTAATATTACTGAAGTCGTTCGATAAAAAAGCACGTACCTTCGGCTCTTAACGCGTTTCAATACTTTGATCATCAGTCCACATAGCTTCCTATTTTATCTTGATTTGTAATCAATGTCATCCTGTAGGCACGTGGTCATTCTTGTGACACCTACTGCCTGATAGCCACAAACCAACTTTACCTATCATCGTTGGGCTATCTCCTAAAACCTTCTACGACGTGCATTCACCAACCTCATGATGTTCTTCCTCTTGCTTCGTGCTTTGAAAGCCGATTCGGTTTTTCATTACCAACGCCTCGTAGTTTACTTCTGCAATCAGTTTTCTGCCCAACAAGTTAGGTGGCCATCCACTCTCCTTATTGGTGTCACTAGCGTCTGCACGACAACGGTGCGCACTACCCTGTTGCCTCTATACAGCCTATTTTTATTATATCAGTTCTGTACGCAGCCGGTCGTCGTACGCTTACTCTGTTTATCAGCCTTAGATCCTGCTTGTTTTAGTCTAGCCGTACGCTGGTCTACCTTGCACCGGTAACATTTTCAGTGCGAGTCCATTCCCCTGATTATTGCGAGCTTGAACCAGCCACCCGTACATGTTGTAAATTTCAAGTGTATATATATGGATCTTTTCCAGACATGACTTTTACATTCCTTACACGGCAACTCGTGATTGTTTTCATCTCAGATCCCAGACTGTCGGTGACTGCGTGCTGTCGTTGTGGCCACATCGTCCCACGAACGTTTCCAGTTGATCCCGAATCTCGATTAAGTGCTGCGGTTTGTGAAAACTTCGTTCTCCCAGGTGTTCAGTACAATCCTGTCAGCAATCACCCGAACGAGAGAAGGCGCATGCGCGTTCCAAGCGGGCCTTCGTTAACCTCTGCCTCACATTGGGATACAAGGATGACGCAACATCCGATGGACCCACCGTCTCCACCCAGAAGTCCCGGCAGGAGGGGTGGTATAATGTATCTGGTCAATCGAACAAACGCTGACTCTATGCTGAACGCAATCCATCGGAGTATTACCGAGGTTATCTCGGGCCTTTTTGTAGACATGGGAGAACACGGATCGGCAAACAGTTTAGAGGTGGGTTCTGAATGCGTCTCTGTCTTTTTTCCTTACTTCAAGCAATCATCCATTCGGTTGGATTCGGTCTCCCGTTTCATTTCAACAGAGAAACATATCGGTTGGTTTACATAGGCATTCGTGTCAAGAATTTATGTACTGTTTCGCCCCATGATTGACGAACATACACTGGACTCTTGAAAAGTGTACAGTGGGCCCCCATTGACTTGAAAATTTCGCGGATCTTTCTTGGTTGTAAATCGCTTTCCGTTTTCACAGTATTCTTTTGTGCTTTGCGATTTATTAGGAAATCTATGGTGGCACGTGAGCTATTTACCATCCACCAACTGATTGTTCTCAAACCTCTGAATTTGTGATGTCTCGATTGGCCTCGTGTGTATTTTCCACGGTTCGAAAGCTAGGTACTCAAGTCGACCAAACCTACGTCATATACACAACAGCGGCGACAAAACCGTGGCTCGGTGGTTTGCGCTCGAAACCGCTGGATTTAGGAAAATTATGCTGCTTATAGACCTCAGTGTAGTGAAATTGCCATCTGGCGCTTTACGAGTTATGCGTACGTGTAGACCCACCTGGCTCATATATGATCACTTACAAAATTTCTGATAGTCACTTCCTTGTGAATTGAAGTGATTGCGATCAGTGTTCCTGATTGTTTTGTTAGGGCTGTCTCCAGGCTGTTTTAAGACCGTATGACGGTCCAGGCAGCGCAAAACTAGGGTGTCTACTCCTCAGAATCGGGTTTACTAGATCCTTGGCAACGAACGGTAGCTCTCCGCTTTTACGTATGCCGACTTTGTCTAAACCCACTGTCCCTATTTCAGTCCATCGGCTTTAAATTTACATTCGCTATCTATCGTTTTGACCCGATTCCATCCAAAGTGCATCATTAGCAACCACGCTCAGCAGCCGATTTAGCTCAGTCCGACCTCTGGAGTTGAAGGTTGTGATTGTCACAATGTAGTACTAGAGGAGGGCTGAGTGTGCTAATGCAAAACATCTTCATCGTTCGTTCGTTCTGTTGCTTTACTAAAGTGCCGGTATTCTCTTGCTGTTGCAATATACGCTTTTCTTGGTTGTCAGCTCTCTTCTAACCATTGGGGTGCGTTCGAAGCCGTCCATACATATGTGTCTGGGACACTGCCTACATTCAGGGTTTTTTTGGCAGAGTAGACTGATTTGTTGAGCATAGGGATGTTGTAATATCTTAGTTATTTCGACACCTCATTCTCTCTACTGAAGGTACTAGTGCTTTTCTGTGTTCCGTTATTGTTTCTTCTCTCTGCTCACTACAACACCACTTTTCCTGCCCAGGCATGTTATCAACATTCTGGCTCTTGTGTTTCCTCAAAGCAGATTTCCTTTGCATTTTGTTTTATTTCAACATGATGGTCTATTTAGCATTATATTAGTCAATATGTAACATGCGTGAATAAACGCTTCCATCATTTTGCGTCATCGCGCTATTTTTCGCCCTCATTTGCTTTCAGGACACAACTTACCGCATATGCCGTTGGGAACTCAACTTCTGCAACTCCGTCTCAACTAAGCACTCAGCTTATTCGTTCAAGGATACCGAGACCTATACAAACTTCTGTGAATCTTCTTCCATCCTTCCGATGCCTGCTAATATTGCAGTCTCTTACAATGCCAACAGCCTCGTGCTGCCCCATGCGCGCTTGTTCAACGATTCTTCCATCTGTCTCTCCCCCGATGGTCGTATGCTAGCAGCCTTCGTCACCCCAAGCGACGGTGACCAACGGTGCGAATTCCCCCATTCATCTGCTATCAACGACCCCGCATTTCTTGACACATTCTTGGCCGTGTATCGCCTCCAACCCAAAGCCCGACGAGGCCAGTGTCTTTTCTATCGCCGTTTTGCATCTCAAACTCCGGTGTGTCTGGACTTCTCTCCTCTGTGTGACTTCTTGGTTGTCGGGATGGCAACCACTCGTCTACCATCGGAAACTTTACCTCCAGCCTCCCTAAGACGACTGCCTACTGTAGAAACTTTGCCACCTCCCTCTGGACGAGTGGAGTCTCATTATCCTTCCGCTGGAGATTTGCTGCCAAAAAGACACACCTGTGTGGGTGAGTTAACAACAAGGTTATACACTAAGATATATGATTTGGTATACTTCCCGATAAGCAGTCACATGAGTATGTGCATGGTAGATGGTTTTTAACGTCACGCCTTCGGTAGTGCCTCTTAATTCAGCCGTAAGTTATACCTAAACAAAGTAGTATAACACACTATCTCAGCATTATGGAGCATCCAACTAATGATGATGATCAAACAAATCAGTTCGGAGGTTCATAGTTTTTACATCGGAACCACATCCTTAGGTATGATGAGAGCGGGAGATGGCATCAATATGGTTTCGTAGTCTTCCTTGCGCGAAAATTATCCTTGCTCGTTACCAGCACCGAAGTCAAGACGAAAGAGTATCATCTATGCGTCACTTGAGGAGCTTAATGGTCTATATTAATTATGACGCGAGTAACCGATTGCCTTTGCCTGAAGAACATAACCGAGGACGGGCTCCCAGTCCTAGGTTGCATTTTTTAGAGGCGATTAACATCGAGAATGTCTCCAGCAGGTTTCTGCATGTTTCCAGTAAATTAACATTTGCTTTTGCCTTTATTAGGTCCTTTATCCATACCCTGCTTGGTTTTGGTCACGCGCATTGCGTTCAGTTTGGTTCGTGGACATCTCATGCTTATATCCCTGAAAAGTTCCCCTCTCTTGTGTTATTAGCATAGCTTCACTCACTTTTAATCTTTTCGATGTCATCAATCCCTGCATTTATGCTAAGCAGCTGAGAAGAGACGTAGTACAAAACTCAAGGGCTGTAAGCATGCGTCACTATCTCCATGTTGTCAACAAATCACGCTCGCAAACAGCTTACTGTTGTGTGACCTCGGCGAGACAGCTTCTTCATGGTTTTCACTACCACGCACTGCAAACAGCCTTACTCCCCAGATAAGTCAGTAGATATACATAAACCCGGTGATCTGGTTGAGATTACGACTGTAAAGAGATCTCTGTTGCGTCTCCCGAGGTATAGCCTGTAGAGCCTCGGACCAAGCACAAGATTAAGCACTTGGACTCTGGCCTTGTCGGCGTACTCATCACCCTGTTTCCTTTCTTGCTACTAGTTACCCGGCCCATAGCCTAAAGGTAACAAGCTTATAATCTCGCGGTGCGGGTTCGACCTTATATAAGGGCATGGCGATCCTCGCAGTATCCTAGCCCACGTGCGACCGGTGGTGGTTGCGCGATAGCGAAGCCTTGATACTGCATACCGGCGTACTGCTGATGCGCCTTTGCCTGCTACCAGTTCAATGGATTACCTTACACATCCGAGAAAGTACAAATCCCTAGATAATCAATGGGCGTAGCATGTGCCCAGCCCAGCGCAACTTGTTCTGTGCGATTTATTGTTTTATGGTACTGACTTGATCATGACCACCTAACATCCATCGGAAGACGTGTCTCCGTGCCCGCCGTCCACACACGGACGAGACGTTTCTGTTTTGCAGTAACGGTACCAGCGAGGTGCATACGTCGTTCACTGCAATTTTTACTGTGTCCCATTCTCTGTCCTTTTGATCTGAACACCTAATAGTGCCACGGAGTCAATGCATTCTGGTTCGATACTGACTGTTGCCTGTGGCTGGCTGAGTTCCAACTGAAGTGTACTCGGACAGAATTGTTGCAGTGACTGTTACCTCTGAATGAACCGATGCATCCATCGGGCGCCAGCAATCAGACCCGTTTTCAAAGAAAGCGTTTAATTCACTAATTATCTCTTAGTAAGGAAGACGAAAGAGCGGGACGGATAGCCATCTTCACCATCATCAACACACGTTATCTGAAGGTAGTACATACAAATGTGCCGCAACACAAAAAACGTGTGTGACAAAACGATATACAAAACATCACAGAATAGAACATAAACCCCAGACGTAATATGATGCTTAGTGTTATATTAGGCATCACGTGTGAGAACGTGACTAGAGAGGGAAGATAAGCGGGGAGTAATCGACTAAGCAACTTACGACACTAACGCCATTAGGGCCGCCTCTTCGCCATATCAACTATCGTATCCCACTACACCTCAGTTCGTTGCATCATTCCCCAAAACGTTTGCATCGGTCGCGCTTGAAGCTGCATCGCATACGTCATGTGACCTTTTGCGCGTGTGCACTCGTGTGAGCCATACTCATTTACTGCGTTCGCGACGTGAGATCACGTGATCACCTTGCTACCGACGGCATTGGTACGGTGACTAATGTCAATGAGTATGGCTCATACGAGTGCACATGTGCAATGTTCATCATGCTTCGAATTCCAGCCCCGGTACTTGGTAGCTACCAACCGACGCCAACTTCGAGGTAAGGAACTTCATCGCTCTCAACAAACTCATCGCTAGACCACCTCTCCTCTTCTTCCATCCACACCCCTGGTGAGCAAACAACGCACGCCGTGGGAGTCGCTGTGTGAGCATACACAGCACGTAGCTCAGCCATATGAGTCTAGTGCGTGACACAAGTGCTGAGCGGTTCACTCGCCCTTCCTGCTGCAAATACACGACACCGAACACGCGCATTGCTCACGCGGTGTTCCCACCAGACATCAGCTAAGCTGCGAAGGCAGCGATGATTGAATGCAACTAGCCTTATCTCTCGATCTGATGGGCCAGGTTTCGCAACTGGACGGGAGGGTTGAACGGACGACTGCAATATAAATTCCGCTCTTCAGGGCGAGAATGATGTCACACCGACGCCAGGTGGGAGAGACTGGCAAAATCGCCTCGAAATTTTGCTACATGCTTCGTGACTTTTTCTTGGATTCCGCGGGCGCTAATATAGCTACCGAAATACGTGGATTTCTTACGACTTTTAGCTGATCGCCACCAAGGGTCAGTGCACGGGTGGATTCCTGACAATCTTGGGGAATGACTGCATTTAGAGGATGCAAAGCACAGTCAGTGCTAATCTCTCCATTGCTACTTGGTACGTTAGGGAGTTGCCACAGATTAGTGCGGTGTCATTGATGTACTCTAAGTCAATAAGTCCATCACCAGGAAACAGCTCCACACTTTCCATCTCGAGATCATTGAGCGCCTTTTCTATGACTTTGTCAACATCGAAAGATGACGGTGAACACCATTCTCTCACACCGCTTGGTGACATTACAGAACGGCGATAGTTTGCCATAAATCCTCACTGCTCAAACTTTGCGCGTACAGTCCTATTATGACATTTATATTCATTCCCCTGTGTTCCACGCTCTCGCTGTATCCTTGTTTGGACAATGGATGCGCCACAGTGAATAGCACTCAGGAGATGCAACGTAGCCGCAGCTTTTCAATTTATTCGATATAAATCCGGCGCTTCCAATAGTTTTACTCAAACGATACTTTTAAAGTAATTTCTTTCCGATAATCCTCATAGTGCAAGTACAGTTATGATTTGCGTTATCTTTGGGATAATAAGCTGTTACTAACATCGTAGTATAGTTATGTCGTGTCGAGTTTGTTGTATGCAGCGGTCAGTGGCCAGTTTCGAACACACATACATAGATCAATGAACCAAAAGTGAGCTTCCGTATCTATGATCATGGGCGACTAATACTTCGCACAAGCGCTTACTGTTTGCACAATTTGGGCTGAAGCTTCTTGATGACGATGACTTCTGCAATGGTCAGCATACGCTTTCTGAGTCCTTTCGATGCAATGTAAAATAGTCCTTTATCTGAATATCTACAGACCGTTGTCCCAATTCTTTAAGTAGTGACGGTCAAAGGGTTTTGCTGTAATCCACCTAGACAATTTTTCTAAGTAAATATCATCGCTTTGCATTATGAATATCCAGTAGTACAGTATGAAGGTCACGACACTGCGTTTGAAGATTAATTTCTTCGCTTAAGTGGCCGCTTTAGCAGTAATGACCTGAGATCTTCCCTCCAGTGTTAGTAAACTGCTCCCTGAGGGCTAGGCACGACCCTTTTGTGGTGCCGTGATACTTTGGTCCACTTTAGCTGCGAAGAACTACCTTAGTCGGGAAATATCAACGCACGCGCAGCAGTTAGGAGAGTTGCCGAGCACTTAGCTGTGTTTTCCAGGTTATTTCCTTGAAACGTCGACTACCATTGGACAGTTCACATGTGGCTGTGTACGGGAGGGATATTGCCGATCACTATTCAGAGAATGGTTTCGTTTGAGTTGCCTACAAAGGAAAGGCACCGTGCCAAGATTGGCAAACGCGTATTTGGCGGTGGCTGTTAAACTCTAGCACAGCTGCTCCTTGGGCTGGAATTCTCGGGAGCTACATTGTGCTTACACTGAATCCAATAAAACCTTCAATACATTACATAATACTGTTTCTTAGGTTTTAAGCGTCACTGACACACCTATCATTAACTATTAGTTGTATTCGCTACCCGGTTACATAAGATGCGGATTTATCTGTGAGGTAACGCAGAGCATGACAGGTGCAATAGCAGTCGGACTTTTGCGGTCCAGCTCATGACGCTCCCAAACGCAAGACAGTCAGCTGCATGAGGTCTGGTTACGATAAGCAGACGTAAGTGTTTTCTTGCTTAGTTGTCGCGTAGGTCATATACGCTTGCATTAAACATCCATCGTTCATTCTTAGTTCAAAGTCTTAGGGGCTTAGGCAGTACATCAACGAAATGGCAGTGAAGACAACATGCGTCATGCTGTTGTCCAGGTCGGTGGGTTTTCTTGATATAACCAGAATAATGCCGGGAACTTGGATATCTTAAAGCTGGAAACAACAGCAGTGACTGGCAGCTGAAACTACTGGGGGAATTCGTCTCAGAACTGCAGCTCCGCAACCTAGAACGAAATAGAAATACAAGTGTAGACGATGTTAGAAACACCAAATGCAAATGTAACTTGTCTAAAGAATGAAAGTAGACTCAGAGCGATAGTCACGATCTACGGTGAGCGACAATAGCAAGTATCAAGCTTCATTAACAGCTCACGCACATGTTACCACTGCTTTCGTTTTTAATTAACCTGGCTTTCGCTGGCTGCACGCCTCTGTACAGATCGCATTATTCTATCCCCTTTAGCTCGGTTTCCCCGCGAAATACAGTTTGTAACGAGTCCCAACGAGGACATCGATTGCGTCCTAGTTAGCGGACATCCCTAGT